ATTTACATTATAGACACTAAGTTTGTAGAAAAGGAAAACGATTGTCTTGCTGAGTAAGTTTTTTTATATTTATAATGCATACACAAAATATATGTAAATATTTTACTTAATTTTGGTCAAAAATTCGTAAATGAGCTTTTAAGTTAAGGGTTAAATAATCCTATTTTAAATGTATGATAATTTTCAAGTAATGGTAATTCTGACAATGTAAGATTCAAAATAATTAAAATATTTTAAAAATTAATTCGTTTACGTAATATTTAATAAAAAAATGAAACGGTGCTTTCTAGCATTTAATACTTAATAAAAAATTGTTTTAGCTGTGAAACCTTAGATACACATGCATCCTTTGATAGTGTTAAATTGAGTAATTCTTCTGAAGGCTCCAGAAATTCCGGACAAACCCAAGTCAATAAAGAAATTAAAGAAGAAATAGAGAATCATTGCCTAGATGATTTACCTGTTGAAAGCGAGTATTATTTTTAGTTCGCGCAATGATTAACTAAAACCTGCATTTTAAAAATAAAAATTATGTTTTTGAATTTTTAAAATTTAATTTAAATCATTTAAAACTCTGACAACAATACGTAAATTTAATACAAAAATATTTTTATAATCTATACCTATGCTATTTTTCGGCAGATAAATCCTAACTTTGACACAAAGATATTAAAACTTAACATTAGGGTAATACACAATTATATGGAGAAAGTATATTTAATCTGTGGTCTATGTATATATGTGTGTTCGTTTTGACTTCAAATTTAACCTTGAATAACTTTTGATTGAGTGAATTTAGCCAAAAATGTTAAGAGGCTTTTTTGTAAAGCATTTGATTTTCCATAAGAATATTCATCGTTTTTTTTCTGGGTACTGATTTTTACATGAAATACAAAATTCCAATTTAAAAGATCAAAATGTAAAACTATACCAATTTTTAAGGCCTGATTTTAAGGAAACGGTTTATCTGACGTAAAATTTCACTTTAACCTTTTTTGTAGAACATTCAATTTTCTTCAAAAAATGTTTTCGATTCAATTTTGTTAAAAACAATGGTTTGGGAGTTCTGAGACAAAAACTTGCTGAGGAAAAAAAATTAAAATTGCGATGGTAGACCTCTTAATATTAATATTATGGACTCAAACTTTCACAATAATTTTTTTTGTTACCCCAAACCATATTTTCGATATACTTTTCAAAAAAAAAAAATAGTTGATTTTTTGGCCCAGTCCAATGGACAATGTCCCTAACAACTTGTTAGTCTATTTTCAAAGAATAAATTTTAAATAATGTTAACCAAAGACTTTTATACCGTACTCTTGATTTAGTTTATAAAATAAAAAATAAAATGACACCATTTTATTTATATAGCAAATTAATATTTGTTAATAATGTTCATGAATATAACACGAGAACAGCAAGTGATTTTTATGTGGATACAGCAAGTGGTTGTGCTCTTTATAGAACAATATTCTATAATGGTCTAATTTTGTTTAATAACTTACCTGTGATAATTAAAAGTGAGTCAAATTATAGTAAATTTAAAAGGGCACTATCATTTTATGTACACACAAACTTTTGATTTTGGATTGTGATAATAAGTATATTTATATATAAAATGTAACATTTATTGCTTTCGCTAATAAACGATTTATTTATTTATTTATTTATGCACGATGACATTATAATATGACAATTATAACAAAAATTCTTTGACGTAAACGTCTTTTTATAGCCCGCGGGCGTTATTATGGCCCAGCGGGCTATAATGAAACGTCAAAAATTAAAAACAACAATGTTACACCATTTGATATATTCGAAGTAAGTTTTTTCGTATAAAGATTTTGATTTTACCGGCAGCAGGCCGCAATTTTTCGCCTTTTCAGCTGCTTCCTCAATTTCATTTATCTTTAAACTTTAAAACTGACTGATGTCAGTTGACATTATAATATGACAATTATAACAAAAATTCTTTGACGTAAACGTCTTTAAAAACAATAATATATTAAAAATAATAATATATTAATCGTGCATAAAGTTTTGTATGCATTGCTGGCATAACTGGTTTTTATGGTCCTACGACGCTTTTCTAGCCCTCGCGCTAACGCGCTCGGGCTCGAAATAGCGCCTCGGACCATAAAAACCTTATTATGCCCTTAATACATAAATAACTATTATTTACACAGCAAAGATTGACATTTTACGCCGGTAGATTCCCAAGTTAGAAATTCTAGCGCGAATTGTAATAAAAAGTGTTGAAAAGCGACTTTTTCATGCAAGTGTTTAAGTTACTCACGAGGCAGTTAGGCCGAGTGTGCAGTAACACGAGCTTGAAGAAAGCTTTTCTCACAAGTATAACACGATGTTTTTTCTACGACCGGTCGCGACCCTTTTATTTTTTATTATTTTTAAATACAAAACAAAATAACCTAAAAACTTTTTTGACAGCTGAAGGTCAAACGAATGCTGTCAATTTCTTTTCACACAGACCTGTCACTTTTCACACAGAAATGTCACTTTTCATTCGTGTTTTGCCTTGCCAATGAAAAGATTCATTTTCTAAGCAACGATGCCATCATGAAGAGTGACTTTTCATAGTGGTCGTAGAAAAAATACTTTGTGATAATGTTTTGCAATTATAGAAATAAAAAAATCAAAGGTTGGCATATTTTCCTAACAATCATATTTTGAAGTCAAAAATGTCAAAATGTCAAAAATGTTTATTGGGATTGTTACTTTATTTTCGTATTGATGTCGCTTTTTACAAATATTTAATTTAAATCAATTTTTATATTTATAATATTAAGTATTTGTCGTAGAAAAATTATAGCATGCAACTCGTTTATAAACTTTTCTAGACACTTACTTAATTAAACACTCGCTCGCAAGCTCGCTCGTGCCTGATGAAAATTCGTGACTAAAACGGCGTTTATCAAACTTGATACATAATGTTCTATAGTATATTACGTAATGTTAAAAGTAAAGCACGACACTTTATTATATTAAATTGTCATGCGTTACCCAATATTATTTTACAGCTTGTTTATTAATTGAAACTGGCACATTTTTTTCAATTTATTAAATTGAATTTAATACCGTTTTTATTTTTACTGACCATTTAAATTTGACTACTTGAAATAAAATAGTGGAAAAGTGTTCTGTCCATACAATTTAAATAGTGATCATTTAATTTGTAGGTACCGTTTTATAACTAAGGGGCTTTACCAAAATAAAAACCCTTAAAATATTACCTAATATTTGGAAAAACCACATTCCAAAGCGATTAAGATGGCCATGTGGGGCTTGTAAACAAACAAAGACCCCTTATTCTTAGGCTTACGGTCCAACGCAGTGGTTGTGTGTTTCATTAAATTTGTTTACTTATTTAATTGCAATATAAAGTGCAGTTATATTTTGTAAAAGAGTGTTAACAAAAAGGATTCATTCGGTTTAGGTAAGTTATAATGTTAATTAGTTGAGTAACAAAAATAGACAAATTTTCATAATTCAAAAGAAATTTTGAACTTATGTATTATATTTTCATTCATACTGGAAGGTTGAATTTCACTGGGACAATTCCAACTTTCTTAAATTGTTGTATTCTATACTTACTTAAACCTTAAACAATTAATTAATATAAAATATATAGTTAACGATATTGTGTTTAGTAATGTATACATTACCTATAGGTATGTGACCATTATACATTTTGTAAAATGGCGCTTAATATTATATTTTTTTTACAGAGTCTAAATAATACCATGGACGAGAACGATGTATATTTATTCGATGACTTTGTCACCGAAGATAGTATTTACATTATAGACAGTAAGTTTGTAGAAAAGGAAAACGATTGTCGGGCTGAGTAAGTTTTTTTATATTTATAATGCATACAAAAAAATATATGTAAATATTTTACTCAATTTCATAAATGAGGTTTTAAGTTAAGGGTTAAATAGTCCTATTTTAAATGTATGCTAATTTTTAAGTAATGGTAATTCTGACAAAGTCAGATTCAAAATAATTAAAATATTTATAAAATGAATTCGTTTACGTGATATTTAATAAAAAAATGAAACGGTGTTTTCTAGCAATTAATACTTAATAAAAAATTGTTTTAGCTGTGAAACCTTAGATACACATGCATCCATTGATAGTGTTAAATTGAGTTATTCTTCTGAAGGCTCCAGAAATTACGGACAATCCCAAGTCAATAAAGAAATTAAAGAAGAAATAGAGAAGCATTGCCTGGATGATTTACATGTTGAAAGCGAGTAAGTATTATTTTTTAGTTCGCGCGATGATTAACTAAATTTTATAAATTTAATTTAAAGCGACAAAAATAATAATAAAATCTATATATCCTATGCTATTTTTCGGCAGATAAATCCTTACTTTGCCACAAAGATATTAAAATTTAATATTAGGGTGTTCTACATTTATATGGAGAAAGTATATTTAATATGTGGCCTATAGAATATACTGAACCAATCTTATTGTTTTTCAACTTTTCAGAGCTGAATATTGTTATAGGAAGTATGAGTAAATGAGGACAATATATGGTTATGTTCATTTGTGTTCATGCTTAAATTGTCCTCATTTACTCATACTTCCTATAACAATATTCAGCTCTGAAAAGTTGAAAAACAAGAAGATTGGTTCAGTATATTCTTTACCTAGCTAAAAATCTCCTAAGCCATAAAAAGCCTCCCCTATTATACGTTATGGAACGCCGTTGTATTTTTAAGTCTACTATTTTAAATGTTAGTTTAAAATGTAATTCCACGTCATGATAACATCGAAATACCGAGTAAAAAATATTTCGGCGTTCCAGCTATGGAACGCCGAAATATTTTTTACTTAGATTGATATTTTTAATTCCTTAAATTAAAAATGTTATCTAGTCTTGAAAATAAGGATTTATAAAGACCGGTTAATACGTTTTATTTAGTTAGAATTAAAATTATCATGGTAACATTTTAAATTTTATAAATAAAAACGTTTGTTTAATTTTTTCTTACTTTGATATTTGTAATTCAATTCATTTTAAACGTCATCTAATACCTGTAATTCGACATAAATTAAAAATATCATAACGACATTTTAATTGCATTGAATTAAAAATATGCTTTGAATTTATTTTTCATTTGAACATTTTAATTCTTTTTATTTTAGAGGTTAATGTGATTTTTATAATTCTACCCCAATTAAAAATATCACAGTAACATTTTAAATTCAATGAAATTAAAACGTTTTTTAAATTGTTCTGTCACTTTGATATTTTTAATTCGAATTTTTCAGTCTAGTTGATATTTTTAATTCGAATTTTAATGTCTAGTTAATATTTTTTTAATTCGAATTTTTCTGTCTAGTTGATATTTTTAATTCGAATTTTTCTGTCTAGTTGATCATTTTAATTCGAATTTTTCTGTCTAGTCAATATTTTTTTAATTCCAATTTTTCTGTCTTGTTAATATTTTTAATTCGAATTTTTCTGACTAGTTGATCATTTAAATTCGAATTTTTTCGTCCAGTCAATCATTTTAATTCGAATTTTTCTGTCTAGTCAATCATTTTAATTTAATTGTTTGGACACTCTGCACCTAGATGGCGATTGAGTGGAAATAGAGATGTGTCATTCGCGACTAGTTCTATCGTTTGAAGTGCACTTTCGATACAAGGAGATTTAATTTCTTTGGTTATGTTATATATTATTATAAAATTAAAAATAGACGCATTAATTTTTAACACTTGTATTTTGTAGTTTAATGGGCAGGTTATTTCAATGCATTTGCAATGCATAGATAGTTCCATCTTAGGTAGTTCTTTTATATCACGCGCGTACTGTCATTTTTTTCTTTGAACAAAAAGTCAGAAATATACTAACATTTCCAATGTTAAAACGTACTTTAAAACGATATGTACATTCGATACTTGAAATAATATAATCATTCGCAATTGACTGACAGATCTCTATTTCCACTGCGCCATCTAGCCGAAGTTAGGAGAGGTGTCCTCACTTGGAATTAAAATGATTGACTAGACAGAAAAATTCGAATTAAAATGATTGACTAGACAGAAAAATTAGAATTAAAAATATCAACTAGACAGACAAATTCGAATTAAAAATATCAACTAGACAGAAAAATTTGAATTAAAAATATCAAATAGACAGAAAAATTCGAATAAAGAAATATCAACTAGACAGAAAAATTCGAATTAAAATGAATGACTGGACAGAAAAATTCAAATTAAAATGATTGACTAGACAGAAAAATTCGAATTAAAAAATCAACTAGACAGAAAAATTCGAATTAAAAATATCAAAGAGACAGAAAAATTTAACAAACGTTTTTATTTAATTGAATTTAAAATGTTACTGTGATATTTTTAATTGGGGTAGAATTATAAAAATCACATTAACCTCTAAAATAAAATGAATTAATATGTTTAAATGACAAAAAAATGCAAAGCATATTTTTAATTCAATGCAATTAAAATGTCGTTATGATATTTTTAATTCATGTCGAATTACACGTATTAGATGACGTTTAAAATGAATCGAATTAAAATGACTACTTGACGAAAAAATATTTAGATTTTTTGAATTGATTTGATTTAAAATGAGTACTCAATGCTTTTTATTTGATTTTATGTCTTGCAGACATATAAATTTCGCGATTAAAAAATGCAACGGCGTTCCATAATACGTCGTATATTTTGATTTTAGTGTTTCATATTATTAATTTTGCTATTATACGTTATACGTTGTGGGCGACCTTTAAATGTTATTTGATTTCAAAGAGACAAAATATTTCAAACTTTTAATACCCATTCGTAATTTTAGATCTAAAATCGATAGTGCTGAAGAAAGTGACAATTCTGATGTTGGAGATGAAAGTGAAGATTTCTATTGCAATATTAAGGAAGAAGGAAGGGACGGTGACTTTTCTGAAGAAGATGATAAAAATTCGGCACACAATGAAGATAAAGATGAGGATGAAGCCATGCTTGAGACGAAAATCGAGGTGGAATATCATGGGGTTCAATGTAGTGATATAGGTGGCAAGGAAAAGTTATTTAAATGTGACTTTTGTCTTAAAAAATATCAAACAAAGTGGAGTTTATCAACGCATAGAAAGACTTTACATTTAAAAGACAAACAGGAACAATTTAAATGCAACAAATGTGATTACGTAACTGTAAGAAAAGATCATTTTAAAACGCATTCAAAAATTCACGATAAAAAAAATTATTTTAAATGTCATTTCTGTCCATACATGTCTGCCGAATTAAGGAATTTACATTCTCACATTCTAAGCAAACATAAACTAGAAAATGTAGGAGAAAATAAAATAAAAATAACAAGTAAAATCTATAAGTGCACTAAATGTACATTTTCAAGTGGGAATAAAACAACTTGTAAGAATCATATTAAAGTTTGTTTAAAATTGAAAAATATCGAATGGCATAAGTGTCAAATTTGCCACTTTAGAGCTATTCGAAAAAGTAATTTAACAAGTCATATTAAAACTCATACTAAAATAAAAGATTTCAAATGTTCTTTCTGTCATTATCAGTGTAACGTAAAAGCTTATTTGGACAACCACATGTTAAGAAAACATTCGGATTTATTAAACGAAAACAATAAAATTATCATCACTTCCAAAATATATTCTTGCAAATATTGTACTTATAAAACAACAATGGCAAATATTTTAACAAGTCATATTAAAACTCATACTGAAATAAAAGATTTGAAATGTTCTTTCTGTCATTATCAATGTAACGGAAAACAAAATTTAGACGACCACATTTTAAGAAAACATTCTCATTTGTTGAACGAAAACAATAAAAATATTATCACTTCCAAAATATATTCTTGCAAATATTGTACTTATAAAACAACAATGGCAAATATTTTAACAAGTCATATTAAAACTCATACTAAAATAAAAGATTTGAAATGTTCTTTCTGTCATTATCAATGTAACGGAAAACAAAATTTAGACAACCACATTTTAAGAAAACATTCTCATTTGTTGAACGAAAACAATAAAAATATTATCACTTCCAAAATATATTCTTGCAAATATTGTACTTATAAAACAACAATGGCAAATATTTTAACAAGTCATATTAAAACTCATACTGAAATAAAAGATTTAAAATGTTCTTTCTGTCATTATCAATGTAACGGAAAACAAAATTTAGACAACCACATTTTAAGAAAACATTCTCATTTGTTGAACGAAAACAATAAAAATATTATCACTTCCAAAATATATTCTTGCAAATATTGTACTTATAAAACAACAATGGCAAATATTTTAACAAGTCATATTAAAACTCATACTAAAATAAAAGATTTGAAATGTTCTTTCTGTCATTATCAATGTAACGGGAAAGCTTGTTTGGACAACCACATCTTAAGAAAACATTCTCATTTGTTGAACGAAAACAATAAAAATATCATCACTTCCAAAATACATTCTTGCAAATATTGTACGTATAAATCAACAATGGCAAATTTTTTAACAAGTCATATTAAAACTCATCCTGAAATACAAGATTTACAATGTTCTTTCTGTCATTATCAATGTAACGGGAAAGTTTGTTTGGACAACCACATCTTAAGAAAACATTCGGATTTATTGAACGAAAACAATAAAAATATCATCACTTCCAAAATATATTCTTGCAAATATTGTTCTTTTAAAACAACAATGGCAAATATTTTAACAAGTCATATTAAAACTCATACTGAAATAAAAGATTTGAAATGTTCTTTCTGTCATTATCAATGTAACGGGAAAGCTTGTTTGGACAACCACATCTTAAGAAAACATTCGGATTTATTGAACGAAAACAATAAAAATATCATCACTTCCAAAATATATTCTTGCAAATATTGTTCTTTTAAAACAACAATGGCAAATATTTTAACAAGTCATATTAAAACTCATACTGAAATAAAAGATTTGAAATGTTCTTTCTGTCATTATCAATGTAACGGGAAAGCTTGTTTGGACAACCACATCTTAAGAAAACATTCGGATTTATTGAACGAAAACAATAAAAATATCATCACTTCCAAAATACATTCTTGCAAACATTGTAATTTTAAATCAACAATGACAGATTCATTTAATAAGCATTTAAAAGTTCATCATTAAAATTTAGTGTATTTGTAAAGTAACTTTACACTTCGCGTATTGCGATTGCTTTAGCTTGAAAACTTGTTGAAAAATTTGTTTTAACAAAAATCTTAGCGACTAATATCATTTTCAAGAAAGAACTTGTAAATCTATTGTTCGTAATATTTGTTACATAATTCGGTTGTGTTGTGTCCGTGTAAATGTTAATAAAAATTTCTTTATTTAGAAACTATTTGTTTTTATTTAACCCTTTTCAAATTTATACAGGGCGTCTCAGAAGTCGCGCACCACCTTAAAGGTGAAAGATCCACAGACCCCCAGGAATCCTAGAAAATTGTAAAAAAATCTACCTTTATTATTTAAATAGATATGAGATCGTAAACATTAAGTTTTTAAATTTAAAAACAATAATAACCTAGATTACAATGTTTCTAGTCTATATAGATTGCTTAGGAATTAAAGTTTCATTTTATACAAAAAATGCATTCTAGGATTTTAACTTTAATAATAATAATAATAATAAAACGTCTTTATTTAACGAGGCGAAGTCTAGCTAGGGCTATTCCACTTAACCTCCAAAACAAAAATACAATTTTTAAATTACAAAACTCAAATACCATTGGTACTAATTTAAAAATAACAAAAAATTCCGCATGCGTTTGGCAACAGGATGTGCACAACAATTAATTACTGAATTGATTGTTATCTGTTGACATCACACCATAGACAATGATTGACAGTTATGATTAAAATTCAAAATTATATTGTCATAGCATTTCTGTTATATATTGATAGGTATTTATTTAGTGAGTAGTACTCTTTGAATATTGTGATCTGTGTGTTGTGTTTGAAGAAGTTTCAATTATTATTGTTAATATTAGTTTTTCTTCATAGTTTTAATCTATGTTTATATTAGTTCCTGACAAAAACTCCTTTTTCTTACTACCTCGACTCAAAATACGTTGTTTCGTCCCCGATTTCACGGCAGAAAGTTTACGTTTCTTGCATTGGTCAAGCTATACGCGCACACTCTAATAGCGGGAGTAAAAATTTTTTATTCGTGTGCTTAACATTCAAATTTCGTACTGCCAACATGAGAAACACAAAAATATGACAGTTTTAAACCATAATTTTGCAATTATAACAACAAATAAACAATTTACGTTTTTACTTTTTTACTTTTTATGTTGTTTTAAGTGTTTAATGGTACTTTTATTTGTTATAAAGTAGTAATTTGTTAATTAAAATACAACCTTTTATTTTTACTGTATTGGCACCGCTGAATTACCATGACAACGCTACAGTTTGATTGATTTTGAATGTAAACGTCAGAATTAAATTAAACGTCAGATTTTAATTTTGACACAAGTTTTTTTTATATACATTTAATTTTTTCCCGTATTTTCTGCGGGGTAGCAAGAAAAATAGTATACACTACAC